AACCTGGTGATAGCCAGGAAACATCAGCACAGTGCTGGACAGCTCTGACTGGTGAGGATGCAGCTCCATGAAAGCCTGCTCCATCCACCATACCGGCACTGGGCTGCTTCAGACCCTGACGTCGTCCCAGGGTCGAGCTTTGCTGGTCCCACCCCATCCATGCCAGGAGTGTTGCTGGGGAAACCCACTTTGTGGCTGCTCCCTTTTCCCTAATGTCTCTCATTCCACATGCTCCCTCCACCACCTTTCTCCCCAGCCTGGGACACACAACCCTGGGGGCACCGGATCCTGCAAGGACCTTCTCTGAGCAGCCACATCCCTGGTACTTGGAGGCCCTGTGAGCACAGCTCCTGTCTCAGCAATGTCAGTTCCTGTGTTTTCAGGGTGTTCTGACTGGCCTGAACCAGCACCATTTTCAGTGTTACCATGGCGATGGCTGCCTGGGAAATGTGTGTGATGGAGGCACATGAAAGGCAGAGTCCAGCCAGGGAAAGGCTGGACTTTGACCACCCTCAGCTGGCACGGCTGCACCTCGCACCCACAGCCTTCATCCCTCAGCCAAGGAGCTCCATCGGAGCCCACAACATGCAGCAGGAGCTGAGGGTGGAGGTAACTCCACAAACCCACCGGTGTCCCATGTGCACTCCTGGGCCAGCACCCTCTGTCCAGCTCAGCCCATGGCTGCAGGACAGGCTGCAGCAGGAACATGCCAGGGGGTGGATGCTTTTGGCAGTTAGTGCCTTTGCATATGTCAATTTTATGAGTTGTGGTTTTGTTTCTTATGACTCCTTACTGTCAAGACCAAGCTCCCACACAGATCTGCCTGTGGCTGTCTCCTTGGAGCCAAGCTCCAGCCAGGACCCTGTGGCTGGTCTCACCCGCTGCCCTCTGAGCTATGTGTCCTGCCCACAGTGAGCCCCAGGACAACATCAGACCACCAGTCTGCTGTGACACAGCTCCTCCATCTCCCACCTCAACCCCTCCAGGGCTGGTGCAGCCGGCCAGAACAAGCAGAGCATCAGGACACCTGGCAATCACTCATGGAGAGCCGGCAGGGCTCTCCTGCTGGGCACTCAAGGCAGCAGCCCCAGGATCCCCCGGGGATGCTCTGTCAGAGCCAGGTTATTTGCTGCTGCTCCAGTTTGCTGGGCTCCTGGTGATCCAGTGTGTGGCCAAGGGCTCCATCCCACCATCCCTGCTTGCAGCCACTTCTCCTGGAGGTGATGATGGTGCATGAAATACTTGCTCAGGTGGATGGGAGAGAGCACATCACACGGCTGAAGAAGGAGCTTCAGGCAGGGCAGAGACCATTCATACCCCAGAGAAGGGAGAGAATAGGGATGTTAAGACATCCCCTCCTCCAGCTCAGACAGGGCCCTTCCCCTCTAGCCAGAACTTGTTCTTCTCCAGTTCTTTACTCATCCCCCTGCTCCAGCTGATGGCTGTTTTGCACAGAGCTTCTCAAGGTGGAGTAGCGACTAGAGCTGCATCAGAGAAAGCATGAGGTTGGGAGGACCTCTGGAGGTCTCCAGCCCAACCTCCTGCTCCAAGCAGGGCTGGCTGCAAAGCTGGAGCGGGTCACTCAGGACCTTCCCCTTCCTTTTGAATGCCTCCAAGGATGTATATGCCCCTGCCTCTCCAGACCTGTCCCAGGGCTGTACCACCTAGTACATGGAAGGAGTTTTCTTTACATCCAATCACAACATGGCCTCCTGCCCTCCCCTGTGTCCCTCTGAGATGAGCCTGGCTCCATCTTGATCCCCCAAATCCAGAATGGCTTTGTTCACAAAACCTGGGAAACTGCCACGGCTGGCGATCCACCTGCCACTGACCGGTGCTGGGCTGCAGCACCCTCATGGCCAACCTGAACCTGCAGTTTGTGGCCATGCCCATTCCTTGGTTCATCTGCCATGGCCACCCCTGCTCCTCTGTCTGAGCCACCAACCAATCCTCCTGGGCATGGGATCACCCCTTGCCAAGCCGCACTGCTGCAGGTGGGCGACACCGCTCCATGGCACACTCCAGCCCTTGTCTGTGCTTACAGATGTGCTGCTGGGCAGTGCTTGTCTGCAACAGCCAAGGGAAGTCTTGGGTGAAAGCCTCCAGCAGTGCTTGGTTGGGTTTGGGTGACGGGCCCTGTTCTCCTGACCCATCAGAAGTCCTCTCAGCACTGGCTGCAGTCTTGCACAGGCAAATAAAGCCACCGAGTGATTCCCTACCCATGGCAGGGGGTTGGAACTGGATGATCTTAAGGTCCTTTCCAACCCAAACCATTCTGTGATTCTATGATTCAGCAATCCAGGTGCCAGCCAGCATCCACCTTGCCCAGGAAGCACACCAACAGATCGGCACAAACCCTGCCCTGCCTGTTTGCTTTCTCCTGTGGATTTTTCCTTTCATTGCGCTCTTGGCAAGACCACTTTCCCCTGTTCCCCCTTCTGAGCAGTCTCCGCTGCTCCCCCAGCCTTACATTCAGCTGCCAAACCAAGGTGACCCTGCGCAGGGCTCTGGCAGCTTGCCGGTGGCTGGCATGTCCTTGCTCCCAGCCTGCTGCTGGTATCTGCACGCTGCAGCGGTGCTCAGCACCCTCAGGCCAGAAGCAGGAGCCTGGTGACCTTTGCTGGAGCCTGAGGCAGTGCTTGGGTCTGAGCTCTGCTGGGCGGCCAAGCCCTTCCCATGTCCACTGGTGGGTTTGCAGCCTCAAGCTGATGGCCCCAGCTTGTACCCGTGGGTCTGTGGCTTCCCAGGAACATGTTATCATGGCAGACTACAAGCTCCTTCAATTGCCTTTGCTGGGGCAGTGAAAGAACCTGATACCTGCCAGACTGAGCTGACCTGGACAGGTAAACACTGCCACTGCACAAGCAGAATCAAGTGCTCTGTGTGTGGTCAGGGTTGCAAGTGAAGGGGCACACAACCAGCAAAGGTCTAAGACCAGGAGCTGTTACTTCATCTCCTCATGGTAAGCTGGCAGGTGGTATCATAGCCCAAACTACCCCAAATGCTGCACAGGGGCTCCCTCCTCACCTCATTTGCAGCTCTGCCTACAAAAGGGCGACCAGCCCTGCTTTCAACTTTGCTTCCTCTGAAGCTGCAGCTCCCCTGCTCCAAAGCAGAGTTTCCTGTTTTCCTGAAGTCAGTGGAGAATCTCCATGAGAGTATGTCCCTGGGGGAAGCTCCCGGCCACATCCGACATAGGTGTAGGCAAAGGAGCAAGGGGAAGGTTTCTCATCAAAGGCAGGATGAGAGAATGGAGGGCTCCAAGTCAGAAGTCGGGATTAACTACATCCCCAGTAGTTTACCCATGAAGACACTCCTGCAGCTCCTGTAGCAGCGGGGTAGGAGCTCCCCTCAGTTCTGGCCAAAAGCTCCTGCTACCCCTGTCACCCCCCCAAACCTTCCCAAGGCAGCAGATCCTACACCCTGGGCACGCACAGTGAGCAGCACCACAGAAGAGCCCACTGCAAGCACAGTGCAAGCCCACTGCACTCCCCAGTGCAGCTGGGGAGGACGTGCAGCCAAAGCCCTCCCCTTACAGCACCACACAACTGTAAGATGATTTTATATAACTAAAACCTACTGGTTAGAGAAGCAGCTGCTAATGGCTCACTCAGCCATCCCAAACAGCCCTTCACTGCTGAGGCACTGGGATCCCCGAGGGCTGAGAGCAGGATCCAGGCAGGTGCCCACCACGCTCTACCATAACCCAAGAGGCCAGACCCAGTAAAGCTACTGGAGGGGGGCCGGGACAGAGCCAGGGTCTGGAGCTTTGCTCAGAGCTGCATTAAAATGCATGAGCTGTGCTGGCCTAATGATGAGCAGAGCTGTCAAACCAGGAGCTTGTCCCAGCTAATTATCTCTAACGAGGGCAGAGTGTCAGGGTCCCTGAGGAGATGGGCAGCAGCTTCCCTCTCAGCTCAGTTGCAGAAGAGGGAAAAGATAAGCAAACGTCCTTGTGCTGGCCTAGCTACAAAATCACTCATTAGCATATGCAACCTTCTGTACCAGTTTGGTCCTGAGAACCTGGACTTGCTGCAGCAGACACAGGCAGGCTGGAAACACCCCAGCTTTTGCCACCCAACCATCCCCTGTGGCACTGAGCCTCCTGCGCCCATGCAGAGACAGCACAGCCCCTGACCAACCATCCCTACCAGTCAGGGGCTGCACAACTCTGCTACACTCACCCTGGGGCTCAAATACCCCTTGCAAGGGCTCCAACCCATTCCCTGGCCCAGAAAGCAGCAGAGAAGTCTGGTCTTCAGGAAATGCCATCATTTAGATGGCGTTCACCTCACCACTCCTGTCATCCCAGGTCTGTGCCTCCCCACCAACCACCTATCCCCTGAATCTTTAAGGCAGACATTAAGGCTGTGTGAATTTCCTCTCTCCGATCCTACTACCTCCCTGTGCAGAAGGGGCCAGCCATACACCGCTCTACAAGCCCAGCCTCTCTCTCCTGTGGTTCAGAAACCAAGACAACACACTCGCCCTTATAGAGAGGAGGAGCATGTCTTGTCCCAAGACATGGTTAAGTCTCTTCCAGGGGTGACAATCCAGAGATACAGCTCACATGAGGTCCATCCTGCAAGCTCTGTGCTTGTGCCTTACCTCTGAGCTGAAGGGAAATGGAAGAGAGACTTTTTTTCTCCATCCAGCAACACTCAGGACCATGAAGCTTACAGATGACACCCATAATACACAGTGCTGTTCATCAGCATGTAATTATGGCAAATGCTTTACAATCCCTTATTGCCAGACAGGAGCAAAGGCTTGAGCACCCACTTCAGCTACATTTTTACAGAATGAAAGATTTAAAAGTCACCAACTTCAAACAGGAACAGCCTTGGTATCCTTGGGACCAAGGGGTCAGAGTGGCCAGCAAGCTCAGCCCCACTGCTTGAGGTAGGGAATTGGGGTCCCTGCTGCAGAAGGCTGGGGATTGATCTATGTTACACCGTCACTGTGTCTCCCTGTCCCTGCTAGAACAAACTAATGAGCCATAAGTATCAGAGAAGTTTACTTATACTCCCAAAATACATATTTCATTTTACATCATGATCAAACTCTCAACAGCAGCCAACTACTTGCAAAGGCAGGACCACATTAAGTCAATCTTACAGGAACACTTTCAGAGGCCACAGGAACGGTTCCTCATGAATTTATGCTGTTGTTAGACTTCAATAACTGCAGCATGCTCTTGGGCACGCTCTTCATGTGGCCCCTTCCACACAAATGTGGTTCAGACTGAAGACTCACTGAACCCCATAGCCTGATCTGCACAGGGGTTTTGCTCACAGGTTTCTTCTACTGCTTCTTCTCTGCCTGTTCTTTAAGCTGGTTGACGAGCTCTTCAGCATACACCTTAAAGAGCGGGACAGGGTCCTGAAACAAGACAGAGAATAAGCCACTTACAAGGAGTGAACCTGCACAGCAGCAAGGGGTGCAGCCTGCTGGAGAACTCTGGGAGCCACTGCTGTGGGAGTGCCAACAGTTAACACCAGAGCAAGACGTGGTCAGGTATTTTTCAGTGGCTTAACAAGGCAACCTGCTACTTCCCCAGAGACATCTGCTTTGAGCTCTGTAACCTTCCCTCACAGATGTCAGGCACCCGTGTGGGACATTCATCAGCTTTTCCCCCTTCTGCCTGCACACGGGAATCAGCAGCATCTACCAGGGTTCCCTTTCATTCTAAAAATGCTTCCCTCCCTCCTCACATTGCCCTCAATCGGGGCTGTACTAAAGCACATTGGGTGAACACACCCCTTGAAGAAGCTGCAGCTCCATGGGGTTCAGGGTCCAGCACCACCTCATACAGTCAGTGCTTCTGACCTTTTTGCTCCTGCTGCAGGCAAAATGGGAGCCAACAGGTCTGGGGGAAATGTCGCCATGAGAGGCTCATGTTGCTGCTCAGGAGTTTCGGATCATCTCTCAGGAGCGCTCAGGCTGTTCAGATCAGGTGGACGTGCAGCCTGATGCAGCTGAGGCACCTCAGTGCCAAGCACTGCCTCAGGAACTCACCTTTTTTTCTAGGAGCCTCTGTTTTTCTATTGCTTCTTCTAAACTCAAGCCGACCCATTCAGCTTCCTCTTCTGGAATTACAAATTCCTGTGATAAAGGAAGGAGCAGGTGGTACAGTCTTTCCAGATGACTGAGATGCAAAGCCCCTCTATGCCCACCTCTCACAAACATGCAATCCAGCAGGAGCATTACTATGCATATATCCTAAAACACCCTTCCCTCATTGCTGGCAACTGAAGTCTACTTCCTACCTCTCCTTGCCCCGCAGCAAGAGTCCTGCTTTCTCCAATCAGCCATGGCCGCTGCTGTGCCTCCCCTTTGTGTAGTCCTGGGGCTGTTTCTCAGCACAACTCCATGGACTGTGGATGCTTCTATGGAGGTGTTTCTATGCTGGCAGCCACCACCAACTGCACAACGCTAAACCGCACACAGGAGCTGTGGTCTCCTCACTGCAGCATCACTACAAATTCTTGCTGCTGTTGGCAGTGCTGGCTCCAGCCAGTGCTTATTGCAGACCCTCACTGAGCTCAATCACAGTAGACACACAGGCTTGTCTTCCCAAGTAATCATACCGAAATTGGCAGCCCCCAGAGACATAAAAAGCCTGATAAATTGTGCTTACGCCTTCTTTGGCTGTAGCCTTAAATCTGAACACAGAAGCATTAACACTGGTCTGTGCAGGGACTGGGTGATTAGATTATTAGTTTATGGACAACCCACAAACACCACTGCAGACACCAGGGCAGGAGCTGCAGGTCAGGCGCCCACCTTGTACTTGTTATAGATGGCCTCTCTCTTAGCTGGATCATCGGGATGCAGTTTAGGATCCTGCCGTGCAAGTCGCAGCAGCATTGTTCGCTTCAAATCCATCCCGAGCTTCGAGCACATATCAGCTTTTGGGGTCTGGAGAAATAAAGTCAAATGTTAAACTGCACCAGAAGTCCAGCTGCTGAAGAACACTCGAGTTTATCAGCACATAGACAACATTAGATGGTTTATCCACACGCTATAGAGGCTTTCAAGACATGCGTTATGAAACCGAAAATAATCCCTTAGGATTGTCCTGGAGCTAATTTGATCCCGGTTCTGACCTTTAACACCAAGTCAAGGGGTTACCAAAGGCTGGAAGCTTTTGACACGCACTAACACATTAACAGCAGATGCCTGCGTGCACAGCGCCCTACCTTGAGGATGTAGAAGTCAAAGCCGTAGGCCTCGTCGATGAGGTCCAGAGTGCGCATGGTGACGGTGATGGTCAGCGTGGCGTCCAGGATCTCGCTGTAGAACTGCCGCTCGAAGAGCTGCGGCTTCCAGATCTTGGGCAGCCTGGTGGAGAGCTGGGCACAGACCGGGTCAGCGCCCGGGGCCGCCGCCTTCCCCGAGCGGCTGCGCCAGGGCCGGGTGTGCGGCGGTCCCGCCCCACCGTCCCCAGCCCCCGGAACCGCCCCCGCGCCCCTCCGGCGGCACCGGCGCAGGGCCAGGCCGTGCCGCAGCGCTCACCTTGTCATTGCGCGCGTACCGGAAGCCGCGGATCCAGCCCTCCCCGCCCCAGAGCCCCTCGTGCGCCGCGCGCGGCAGGTACACGGGCACGGGCACGTCCTGCACGCGCTCCCACTGCCCGGTGCGCGGGTTGCGGCGGCTGCGGAGGCCGTGCGGCCGCCAGTGCACGGGGGTGGGCGGGGTCTCGTCCCGCAGCTCCCGCAGGTAGTGCTGCGGCAGCCGCGCGCAAATCCCCTCCCGCAGCCGCAGCTCCGGCCACAGCCGCGGCGCGAACCGGTGCAGCGGCATCGCTCCCCGCCGCCGCTTCCGCTCCCGGCGCGCACCGCGCCCGGAACCGGCGCCGCCAACGCCGCGCAGCGGCTGGCGCGGGTGGAGCTGCGGCGACGGGGAAGACGACGGCGACGGGACGAGGACGGCGACGGGACGAGGACGGCGACGGCCGGCAGGGGCCGCGCCGCGCCCGCGTTTCTCCCTCACGGCGATGGCGCGGCGGTGCCCTCAAATAGCTTTATTGGATTATAAAACTGTAAGCGTTAAAATCCACCGTATAAAATAATCACAGGTAGTAACAGCAAAGGAAATGAACCCAACAAACCTGTTCTTTCCCCAGGAATTCGCTCAGATCTTACCCCAGATAATGAACACCACCGCCACCGAATGCAACCTTGTGCTAGGGCAGCAGGAGGCATAGAGCACAACGTCCACGATCAACACAAAATAAACAATCACGGTAGCGGGATTTCTCGCCCCAAAGGCCCGGTGAGGAATTATTATTGCTTTCTCCGGTAACGGGCAGCCCGGCACGGAGGGCACGGCTGATGGAGCGGCAGGAGCTCCTGGCACGGTACTGGGGCTGCAACGCCACTGTGCAAACCGAAACCGGGGGGAAAGTGCCTAAAAGTGATAAGAGTTCGAGAAGCCCTGAGGGCCCCATGTCCCTCACCCCAGTTCCATCCTGCTGGCGTGGATGGCTGCAGCAACGGGAAATGCAGGACACGGGTGATAGGACAGCGTCGCTGGGTTCAGGCGAGTGCCCTTCACCTGCTTAGGAAGTCAGAGCTTGAAGAGGAGGGGAGGCAGAGGGTAAAGTGCAGAGCTGAGCAGGAGGCTGGCTGCTCTTCAAAGCAAAGAAAGAATCCCGAGGAGGCAAATCCTTCATAAATAGCTCTTTCCTCCACAGAGCCACCTGAGGAGGGGCTTCCAGCAGCCTACACCCAGCTGACCGCTGGAATCAACCAGCAAGAAACAGTGTATTTGAGCTCTATCTATAGGAGATGGGTGGGCAAAGCCAGCTTTCCTGGTTGCTAAGCTTCTGCCCTTGCCTTCTGATGTCTGCATGCCCTTTAGTAAGGCTAAGGTGAGACAGACACTGCAGAGGAGACCGTAGACATCTGGGGAGCCCATGGCAAAACTCCTGGCTGGGGCAAGATGCTGCCAGTGGCCTCAGATCGGCTGTGATCCTGCAGCACATCCAGCCTCCCAGGCACAGCAGGCTGGAAGAGCAGGGAGTGTGCAGCTCAGACCCCGTCCTGGACCACACACACTGCCCCAGGCAGAGCTGCACACACACCAAACCCACAAAAGGGAAGAAGACTGTAAATACCTGAACATCAAGGGAGGAAGGGGACAGTGCAGCAGCCTGGCTCCTTCTAGCTGAGCTGACGGCTAAAATTAACTTGGACTGAACCCTGCACTGCTGCAGGTTTCACAGCTCTGGGCGAGATGCTGCTGCTTCTTCTTGCATGTCCCCACCTTGTTTTTTTCACATTCCTGCGAAGTCTGAGCCTGAATCCAGGGCCCAGGGCCCAGCCTTGTTCTTCCCCTCCCCAGAACCAGGACTAGGTAAGAGCAGCACTGCCCGTTTCGTAGCAAGAGAGGCTCGAGACCCCCGTGGAGATGGCAGACAAGGGCCCCGTACACACCAGGATCAGCTTCCTCCCCACCAGCACCAAGGGCATGAGGCAGTGTTTGTCCCCCAGGTCAGAAGAAACCCATCTTTCTTGGGTTCAAATGCTGACTGCAGGACAGCAGGGGAAACCCCTGCCTCACAGCCCTCTGCTAGGAAAGGGGGTGCAGCTCAGTGCGGGCTAAGCCCAAGCCTCATGGATGCAGCAGGAGGGGAAGATGGGTTGGCGATTTCCCCCAGGGCCATGGGGAGGTGCAGGACAGGCTATTCCTTGATCTAGAACCACAAAGAGCCTGCCCCATCCCAGCAGAAAAGCAGAGGTGGCCTCAAGCTTGCCCTTACAAGACAAGCCCACCACCTTCATCTTTAAACCTGGTGTATGCTGCGCCCTCCCAGCCAGTGACCAAGCACGTAAGAGGATTGCTGACGTGCGAGAGAGGGGCAGCCCAGGCCAAGAGCAACCTCAGCAGCCTCCACCTCTGCCACCAGGAGCAGAACAGTTCATGTCACAGCGTACAGCTCCTCACGGTCGTTCTGGCAGATCTGATAGCGACAAGTGAGCTTCTGTGACCAGGCCCAGGGCTTTTTATGCTTGTCCCGAGGAGGAAGCAGGAAAGCAACGCTGCAAGCCACCAGCACGTGCCAGATGCTGTGGGTGTAGTAATAGTTCTCATTGGTTTCCATGAATGCATATACTGAGATGGCAATGAAAGCCAAGGTGATCCCTGGGAGGAGGTAGAAAACCCAGCGCTTCCACGAGGAGGGATAGCAGTGCCTGCGCTTCACGCCATGGTAAACCTGGAGGTGTCAGAGCACAGAAGGTTAAGCACCCAAGAAGTTTAGACAGGGGGCACAGGCAGTGCTGCCTGACCCAGGAGCATCTGCCAACCTCACAGCAAGAAGCTGTGCCTGCTGCCCCCGAGAGATTCATCCTCCTCTCTTCTTGGGCCCATCTTTTGCATGCAAAAGCCCACACCCAGCTGTGGCACCAAAGCCCAGCACAGATGCTATAGCTCCTTCCCACTGCAAGGGCAACAGATGACCCTTCTGGGGCAACACTGCAGCCACAGGCATGCACTCAATTGGAGCTGTGGCAGCTGGATTGTGCCGAGACCCATAACCAGGGATCTCTCAGCTACAAGGGATGGACAAACACCTTGCCTTGCCCCCCCCTCCATCTGAGTGCTTCACAGAATCATAGAATAGTTCGGGTTGGAAGGGACCTTGATAGGTCATGTAGTCCACCCACCTGCAATGAGCACGGACATCTTCAACTACATCAGGTTGCCCAGAACCACATCCAGCCTGGCCTTTAACGTCTCCAGAGATGGTGCATCCACCACCTCTCTGGGCAGCCTGTGCCAGGATTTTACCACCCTCACTGTAAAGAATTTCTTCCTCACATCCAGCCTAAAAGCCTCCCCACTTTTAGTTTAAAACCATCACCCCTCACCCTGTCGCAACTGGCCCCACTAAAAAGTCTTTCCCCATCTTTCTTACAGACCCCTTTTAAGAACTGAAAGGCCAAAATAAAATCACTCTGATGAGATTTTTGGAGCAGATCAAGCCATGCCTATGGATGGGCTGTAGCCAGGGTCTGCTCTGCCACCATCATTCTCCAGAAGGGAGCAAAGGACAGCAAGTCCTGCCTCACTGCCCTTACTTACCCACGCTGCAACCATGATGACGAGGGCAAAGAGGCAGGGACCCATCATGTTCCACACCCCTCTGCGGTCCAGCTGCAGGGACATGGCAATTAACAGGGTCCCCAAGACGAAAAGGACCTGGGAATGAGACACCACCACTGTCACCAACAGCTCATCTGTTGCCAGAGCACAGCCAGCCGTGCCCAAGGCATGGAGGACCTCACCTCCTGGCCACCCAGCCCTACGTGCATGCAGGACTTGGGAGCAGCACCTTCAGAAGGAGAAACCAGAGGATCCATGAACCTTTCCCACAAATCCCAGTCCCTACAAGCACACAGGTTCACAATCCCAGGACAGAACAAGCCAGTGGTTTAAAACCAGGGTGGCACTGAGTGTCGGACAGGCTTTGTCACTGGGCTAGGCTGTGTAAATGAAACGCAGCCATGAGAGGGCTCAGTGCGGCCACCCGTGGCTCGGCTGGCTCAGGTCTGGCCCTGGCGTGCAGGGTTACCTGACACTCACGTATTTCAGGATCTTCTTCACGCGGGACATGCACAGGATCGTCACCCAGATGGACACCACAGAGCCCAAAAAGTCACAGTACTGCAGTGTGTCGTAGTCCATGATGCACAGCACCGCGATGCCTGGCTGGTCGCACGCATGGTAGAACTAGAGCCAGGGACAAAAGCAAAAGCTAGCGTGAATCCAGCAGCACCACAAGGCTTTCTGGGAAGGAGAGGCAGGAGAAGGCTCAGCCCCTGGCAGCAGGATCCCTCCTGGAAGTGCCTCCCCAAAGCTCCACCATGGTTTTACAGAAAGCAGATGAGAGCAGCCATCAACTTGCTCTCTAGGAGAGCTCCTAGGACAGCACCTTTCAAGAGTACAATGCTCCTGAAGCAGCCAAGACGAAGACACCCATCTCTGCTCCCTGGGCTCCCACCCCCAAACATAAGAGCCCAGTGAAAGTAACACTTCTGCCCAGCTCTGAAGGAGCAGGACGTGCCCATGGAGGTGCTTGTCCAACAATCCTAGAAGCTCCTCTACCAAGGACTGCAGACTGATGCAGCATTCCTGATGCTCAGCGGGAGGTGAGAGGGGACCAGACAAAAGGCAGTCCCTACCGTGGAGAAGAACATGGTGTAGGTGTAGACGGAGGCCTCCACCAGGTAGTAGCGATAAACAGCAACCGCTATGGCCGGCAGGAACATGAGGTTGCTTAGGGTGAGCAGGAGGGTGGCCAGGTTCTGCACACTGATAGACTGGGCCTTGGCATCGTCCGTGCAGCTCCACCCTCCCCAACCTGCAGAGCAGAGAGGCTTGTGTGGATCTCGCTGCCCTACACTGTCTTCCTGCAGCACCCAGCAAGAGCCTGGGATGCCTCAGAAGCAGGATTCACAGCCCTGAGCCTCCTCTCACTTGGTCCATCAGCCACTCCCACTCCTGGTCTCAGGATGGTCTCTACTCATTGCATGCTCTGCTGTGAAAAGTCTTGGGGAACCCCAGCAGTGCCCTGCATCTGCTCTGGGGGCATCCCACAGGTTGTTCCCATGTAGCAGAAGCCACCCTAGCTATAGCGTGGGTCTGTCCAGAATGGTACTTTTCACCCCTCCAATAACTCAACACACGTGCTACTTGATGGTGGTACATCAGGCTTTTGAGCCTCAGATGCTTCACATGATGGTGCAGGCTGGGTGAAAGATCCCTACACATCCCTGGAACCAGGGTAGAGAATGAACCACAGCACTGAGGAAGACATTACTGGGCTCCTCCTACCACTTGGCACATTGGGGCAGACTGCAAAGCCAGGTGAGATTGCTCTAGCTTTGCAGCTCTGGCCTTGCCTAACAGATTTGAAGATCCTCAAGGATGTGGCCATGGACACTGTGCAATGATGAACAATTCCGACAGGGGAAAAAGCTGTCTTCTTCAATTTAGCTGGAAGTTTCCTTGCTGCAGCCCAGGTCTGTGGCCTCTTGCCCCTTCCCTCTGCTCCCCAAGAAGAGCCCAGCTCAGGGTCCTTGTAGCCCCATGCACAGCCCAAGGTGTGATTGTAACTCCTCTTCTCTAGTGTGATCAAACCCAGTGCCTCAGTCCGCAGTGGCACCCAAGTCTGCACAGGACAGTGGGAGTGAGCATTTCCTAGAGGACAGTGTGATGACACAGGGCACAGTTCTCAGCCTGCTGACGAAGGACTGAGCTAAGACAGTCTCCTGTGAACACACACCTGCCTTTTTTTTCTTTGAGTTTATTTTTGCTCACACCCTGCTTTGGGGGAAGAAGGTCAGTCACAGGGCAGCCTGGGTATGTGCAGGCACCCCATGGTCCAGAGGCAGAGTTAAAAGTAGCTACAGTGCCACTAGAAACCAAGCCAGCAGCTCTGCTCCTTGTGCAGGCTCCCTGCCAGGCAGAGCCTGGGGAAACTGCTCTCTCCAGTTTATTTCTGGGTCACGAATATGCAGATGGGGCATTTTGCTCCAAGTGATTCAACAGAAAGCTGTCCTCAGCCTGATTCCCCGGTTCCCTTGGGGTGCTCTGCGTTTCCCAGAACCTGGCACCCCTCAGGGAAATGAGGATGCTGCTCTCCATCTCGCTCCACACCCATCATCAGCACTGCAGCAGACAGCAGGGATGTCTTGGCTCAGACCCAAAGCAGCACTGAACCACAGTTTACCCTGTCCTTCTGCTGGGAACAGGTACACGTACCACCCAGGCACAGCAGTGCTATCATCTTCCCTACGCCACTGACTACAGCCCAGCCTTCTCATCCTGTTAAGATAATTATCAGCTGACACAGATGTTCCTCCCTCAGGGGCACCTCCAAGCCCAAGGGCTGGCCTGCGTGCTGTCTCTTGGCAGGAGACAGCACCATGGCAAAGCACAGGCAGGGATGCAGCCTGACCTCGTAACACCCATACCAGGACCCCACATAACAAACCTCCCTGGAAGGCACAGGCTCTGATGCAGGCACTTCCAGCAGCCCTGCCAGCACCCTGATCAATCTGGGGATGCTCAGGAGCACCTCTCCAAGCCCTGAGCTGTCCTCAGCCCAATTCCCCATTTTCCCTGGGATACTCGCTGCTCCCTAGAACACAGCATCCCTTGGGGAAGTCAGGATGCTCTCCAAGAGGTGCTAAGGGCTCTTTGGCAGGCACTGTGACACCAGGCTGCTCCTGGCAGCTGCGGCAGACCCCAGGCTGCCCTACCCAAACACCACCACCATAAACATGTGTCCTCCCCTTGGGGAGGATGGCAAAACTTCCTAGAACATGCACTCACCAGCCTTGCAGCTGCAGCCAGCATAGAGGTAGCCATGTCTTCTCAGGAGGCTGCACTGTCCGTACGGCCCACAGTCGTTGAAGCAGGGGGTGAGGTATGCAAAGACGGTCACTTTGGCTTCTGCAGCATTACAATGACTGCAAGGAGAGCAGGTCACATTGGTACACTGGTCCTCTGGGGCAGCCTTGTGCCCAGGAAGCACCCTGCTCTGGCTCAGGCCATGCCTGTGTATGCAAGCTCCCTGGTATTCTGGGATCTATTCATCCCTCCCCAGAGTTTGAAGCAGAGTTGATTCCCTCTCCACTTGAACTGCCAAACTGATGTGCAGCCATCAGCTCTCTTGACACCCATAGCAGACTCCAGTGCCCATAACTGACTGCAGTATCACTAGCACTGTTTTACAGTGCACCCTTGGCCCCTTACACAAGGACCGAGCTTCTGCTTTCTAGTCAAACTGCAGGAGTATGGGCACAGCTGCCTACATCTAAGGGACACCTCAAAGGAGTAACAGCAGTATTTTCATTTACCAATTTATCACCTCAAAATCCACCTGGGCAAGAGGAAGCTCATCCAGCCAGGCTCTGCCATCTGCAGCCTGCATGAGATGTGCCAGCTGAGCACTAGAGAAGCTGTTTGGGTGCTCACAAGCGAGCAAGCTGACATGGTCACCCACCCCCTGCTCCCTCTGCAGCCGCAGTTCACCTGCTACCAGCTGAGCTGAGCCCATGGCATGGTGGCGAGGACAGGGGTTTGGTTTTGCTTACACCAGTCAATGGCAGTGGGATGTGGAGACAGAGCGCTCTGAACCAGCGCCGAGGTGGGATGGCACAGCACTCACCCCTGGCCCTTCAGGCAGGTGAGCTGCAGGGAGAGGAACCAGTCATCCGTCTGTGGGTACAGGACAATCAGCGTCGCTTCCGCAGAGGATGTGCTCACACTCAGAGGGTAGCCCTGGAAAAAAGCTTAAGGAAAAGAGGGTGCTGCGATGTGCCAAGACTAGGGGAGAAGGGCCCACAGCAATCCTATGCCGAGATGGACTGCACAGGAATCAGAGGCTCCTGTGGCTCCTGCTCCCATCCTCAGGAAGTACCTGGGGAATGGAGAGGACCCTTGCCCCTGAGACCCTTGTTTATTCTTTCATCTCAGCTCTCAGCCCTGCACAGACAGCTCAAGGTACCTGGAGCACCCTGTTTGCTTGGCTAGTCCTCCAGTGCAGAGCTTAGCTTCTCTACACACCAGCAATACCTTGACCATCCCCAAACCTCTTGCCAACAAGGCTGGAAGAGCCCCAGACAGTAATGACACCTTCCTTTGTTGGAGACTAACTCTGGGTGCCACACTAGCACCTTAGGCACATGCCAGCACAAAGACTTCACAAGGGCTCGTGCCAAAATCAGCTTCCTTGGGACACTGTGAAGTCCAGAGTCAGTTGACAGCTCACAAGCCTAAAAGCAAAGCCCCGAGATGGTGTCGCTGAGCTGGCATCAGGTGCCAGCGTCTCCTACCTGTGCTGCAGTTGTGTGTGGCATTGAAGGACAGCACCGGTGAAGCAGCACTCACACATGCTACCACGGAGGCATTGGCCAGGTTCACGGATGTCTGTGCAAACAGAGCAGTGTCCCAGGTCAGAGCGCCCGATGCCACCCCCTGGCACAACTCCTCTCCCATGCTGCCCCCAGGAGCAGCAGGGGACAATGAACCCTGCAGATCAAGGTCACCCAGCAACTCAGCAGCTTTTCCTGGGCAAACCCATGCTCAGCTCACCCTGCGCTGCCACCATGTCACAAGCTGGCTGAAAGGCAAGAGGGGCTTGTGGGGGGCCTCATGGGGAAACTGCCCCAGAGCTGGGGCACTCACACATCGCTTCAGCAGGAGCACAGCGGCAGGAGCCAGAGGCAGCAGGACACCAGGGCTGAGCCCTGCTGCAGCCCTCAGGAACTTACACAGAATTTCAGGGGGCTGATTTTGGGATGTCACTGAAGGGGACTGGGAATCAGTGACTTGGGCAGGAACATCCCTGGGTTTCCCTGCTCAGTTTCCTATCCTGGTGGCAGGGTGCCAGGCTCCTGTGCAGAAGATGGCACTGCAGCTGCTTTCCATTTCATCTCCTCTGCGTCACTGCCACCACATGCCAGCAAGCTGTGGCACCTGAACTGGAGCTGGCAGGTGGGACATGCTGGAAGTAGCTAAAAGAAGCTCAGTGTTTTGTGACAACAAAAGGGAAGATAAATAGTCCCACCGGTACCTACAACCCCTGGAGTTTGCTGACAAACCCACCCAGGAGCAGGCACAGAGCCCTGCAAAGGGGAGACAATCCCATCTGAGAGCCTCCACACCTTGTTAAGCAAGAGACTGATCACGAGGGAACCCCCGCTGTCCATGCCAGTGTTCAGGCTGAGGAGGAGCAGGGTCGGGGAGAGGTTGTTCACAGGCACACTGGGACCATTCAAGAGCCTGTAGCGCACAGACACCACATCCAGATCCTCACGAACGACGGGCTGGTTCTGCAGGCAGAAGCTCCTCTGGCCAGAGACATTGTGTGAAGCCTCTGTGGCAGACAGAGCGGAGCTCCCTGCTGCTCCTGTGCTACCTGGTCTGGGACCAGTTTGGCTCTGGTTTAGGCTGCTGAAGTTAAGAAATGAACTGGTACTTCCTGGTCTGCAAGCTGTAAAGCAAAAAGGGAAAGGAATCAGCACAGGCAGGACTAGCACCTCATCCAGGCAGGGCCCCAGCAGCTCCAGACCGTCAAGTGACAGCATAAACTGGAGGTATTTCAGGTGGTTCATGCATTCGCTACAGCCCCTGAAAGGCACCATCTTTGCAGAGGGAACTCTAGCATCAGCATCCACAAGTTGGAACATGATGGACGCTTGTCCATCGCTCCCAGAGACTCTAGTGCTCCCCTCTAACACCTCGACTGTGAGTGCAAGGCCCTCCAGCACATGGGTTCAGGCTCTGCTTTGAAGAGGGGATGGCAGAACCCCCAGCAGAAAATGTGCCTCGTTGGTGAGCTTCCAAGAGTCAAACAGGGATTATGGTCATGTAATAGGAGGATGCAAAGGTGCCTGTCACAGCCACAAGGACCTTGTAACCTTCTGAGTCACAGGGTGTCACCCAAAATGGTGACATCCCCTCGCTACCCAAGACGTTACCCCAAAGAAACCTCTGTGAAATGGTTTCTTGTCTGTAGCCTGCTTATTCCCAATCGACAGTCAACATAACATCACAGTGCAGTAACCCCAAATTACTTTCCCCACAAGATTTCAAGTAAGTCAGGCACTACTTCACAAACAGGCTTTGGAAAATATCATTGCTTCAGAGACCCCAAACTTTTCAGGCGTTTCCAAAACAGGCATCTCCAGGGAGTTCCCTCTTGGGTGAACACTGAAGCCTTCATTTTTGACCTCAAAGCAACAACTATGTTCCAGCCCCCAAGGTTATGCCAGCATGCTAGGGAAGACAGCCACCCACCCCAAGGCTCAAGAGAGACACAGTAGACACAAAGTTCTCTCTGGTCCTTCCCACAGGGCTAGAGAAAGTGGAAGCCCACCTGTGAAAGAAGCCAGCATCTGCACAGACACACTGGCATTGGCAGGGCCAAGACTCTCCACCATGATCTGCAGCCACTTCTCCCAGGGGGGTGACTCCAGGGCCAAGCTGCAGTTTACGTTCCCAGTGCAGGTGATGATCTTCTGGAAGGACTGGGGCAGTGTGATGGAGCCCAGCACTACCCGCACGGCACACGCTTTCCGCTCGCTTGCCACACAGCTTCGCAGCTCAAACCGCATCCCCGCAGCATGCTTGGGAACGAAGACCCTGCAGGAGGAAGGGAGACCAGCAGTTGGCAGAGCTTTGTGCTCTCCACATAAGCCAGCTGTGACCCACCACAGTGATGGGGTTTTGTGGCAAGAGCTGGCTGGTTCTGCTTGGTGTTGTGAACATCCTTCCCAAGGGAAACATCTCCAAGAACTACAATTCCCACAGCTGGACCTCTAGGACCACCCGGGAAGAGCTGGAGAAGCGCGTGCTCCCTGTGCAAACCCTACCACTGCTGCAGGGAGCTTGGCAAACAGGCACGGAGAGCCAGCTCCAGCCCCACACGGGAACAACAGTGGCTTCCCCTAAGCAGCACCCATGGGAAATCCCGCCCCACCATGGCCATAAGTCCTTCCACCCGCTGCTCTCACTCACTTGACATGCAGTGGCTTAGCAGGCGAGACAACTGTTTGTGGCATGGCAACACCAGGCTCCAGAACAGGCATATCAGTGAGTCTGAGCACAAACATATCTGCCTGGAACATATAGGGGCATGGAGTGGAGAAACCCTGCAGGAGGGGAGAGCAGATGGGTCAGCTGTGGCAAGACACACTGAGCAGAGCACGATGGCTGAGAGCTTCACCAGGACCCTCACCTTCACTTCAATCCTGCCAGCAGCCTCAGGGAGGTGGGCAGCGATGAACCAGTCTCCAGCAGCAGGGCTGGTGATGTTCACAAATGTGGTGTTCTGCACAGCACTGCTCAGAGTGATGCTGATGTTATAGGAAGGACGGACAGTGGCATTAGCAGGAAAACGAGTGCCCAGTGGGTTAATTACAGGAGGGGCCCCATAACGAAAGTGCCTGTGAGAGAAACCAGAATGCAAATAAATCAAGGGGTGTAAAGACACTGGCAAAACAAACTGGGATACAAGCTCATCAGGGGACACCCAGGTTGGCCTGGGATCTGAGAGGGAGCAGGGTGGAAAACCCCACATTTTCAAGTGGGCCACAAGAGCCATCATTTTCATCTGATGAGGACTGGCTGCTATTAGCTTATCTGGGATTTATTTAGAGATTGGTTTAACTTGGCTGCTTATTAAGATAAGGATTTACATAATTCCATGAAGCCTGAAAGCAAATTTTCACACTTACTAAGGTTAAGCCCCAGGCGCAAAACTACTCCTTTTTTATAACCATCAGCAAATTCCCCATATAGGCTGAATCGTCAACAGAGAGCTTTTATTTTCTAGCCAAGATTTACATCTTCCCTATTTCTTCTCTTAAGAAGGGCAGGCAGACAGACTAAGAAGATGCTTACCAAGGAAGGTCCATGTGACTGACTTCAGTACAACAGCACTTTGGCTTCCCAGATAAGCAGCCCAGCATTTGAAGCAGCAGAAAAGCAGGCAGCAAAGTAACACGCGAGATATTTATTTGGGCAGCCAATCTGGTGTTCAATTTGCTTGCTTTTGGACTGCAGTGCAACCGCACGTAACGGGTCCAGCAGGCAAACATGACAGTGGATATGGTGTTAACCCGTTTGAGCTTAGCTGGGCTGGTCTTCATTTCTTAGGGTATTGTTTAGCTGTTGCCTTGTCCCTCACATCCCCAAGCTATTGGAAACCTTTCTGGAAAGCAGAAAAGAAGATCAGCTGTGCTAGGATGCTCTGGAGCAGCTGAGAGCACTGATCTGTGTCCAGGACAGACCAGGGAAGTGCAAGTCGAGCTGCTGCAGTCACTCCTGAGACCTCTGTGGAGTGGGTGCCAGAGACCCATGTGTCTCCATGGGCACAACTTGCCCAGGAAGCTTGGTATCCTCCCAAGCTACAGCTCAAAGTCCTGAAATCCTCCACCTCAAGTACTGCTTTAGGCAGCATTTCTTTCACTGGCATTAGGTTTGCAATCTTCTCATGCTCTTGTGTCTGCAAGACTGGGCATTCCTCTCCTATCTCTGCTCCACACACAGTTGCATGCCTCACAAAGTGTCCCCACTCTATTCAGTTCCTCTGTGCTGGGGAATTTGGCTGTCTCCAGTCGGTTGGGGTCCTCTCAAACCCCCTGTAGTCCTGCTACATCCTTTGGTACCATGTGCAGGATCCTGCCAGGCACAGAAAGGTCCAGAAACACTTTTGCTTATGAGCAGCAACACCAGCCTCACTGTGGAGCTATCTCCAGTGCTTCTAAGGCGTCTCTTAGACACCGCATCTGACAGACAGCCACAGATGCACTGATAACAGGAACACAAAATGCTCCAACAGGTTTAAACACAGGTTTAAACAAAATGTTCCTACAGGTTTACGCTCCTACAGGTTTAAACACAGATTTAGTGCTGCTACATGAAGAAACTATGGCTTTTTCAACTAGAAAACACATGTCCAACATCCTACAATCAACCAACCACAACCATGAACAACAAGGACAAGAGAAGGAAAGGAAGCCCACATGGGCAAGCACCGGCACAGGGACATACATACACTGTGATCTCCATGTCGGTGCACTCAGGTCCTTTTCCCCGGGATGCTTGCAGAAGCCAGCGAAGCAGCACAGTTTCTTCCGGCACATGGAAGTGGAAGAGCTTAGCGTTCCCATACCAGCTGTAGAAGGACAGCTTCTGTGCACTCTGAGAGAAGTACTCAGAGACATACATGGAGTCTGAAAGGCAGAGAGCACAGCACTTGCTGGGGTGGCTGCTGGGGGCAGGCTGCAGGGCTGAACCACCCACAGGAGCACACAGGAGTCTAAAGGTTGCTGGAGAGGAGCCCTTTGTGTCCCTGGTTTCTCATCCCAGTCCCACTAAATACACTGTGATCCAGCCAGAACCATCCACACCCCTGCTACAAAACCATCACCTGGAGCCAGAGAGCACTAAAAGTACCCTCTGCAAGATGCGCTCTGAAGATGACAGATCACCAGAGACATTGAGAGGAGGAAAAGGTCGGAGTAAAAGTTGATGTCACAAGAAAGGACCATAGAGTAGGCAGCAGGGACAAACAGTGCAGAGCAGACGGGTGCAGGTAGTGCAGGGGTGCTCGAGGGCCCAGCAGCAGGTACACACAGTCAAGAGCTGTGCCCTCATCTCTCTGCTGAGCACATGATCTAACCTTATCTGTCTTACCCAGCTTAAGACACACGTACAGCACAACCCACTGCCTCCCTGTGACACACAATGTGATGAAAATTCATGTGCTGCAAACCTAATTCCACTTTCAGATGTACCTGCTGAAGTCTAAAGATTCTCCTACCTGGAAGAAAGGCTGCTGTGATAGCTAGAACAGCCCCAGGGTAGGCTGAAAGATCATGCAAAACTACAGCTATTCAGTCAAAGTGCCATCAGGACTAACTAGATCCACCATCCACCCCTCTGCCCAGCTATGCTTATGGATTACCCCCAGCCCGCTGATAATTCCACCTGCAAATTGTACATCAGTGCTATTGTATGCAAGGAACCAGCCAGACTGCAGCGCCGGGATGGAAAAACAACATCACACCAGGGCTGACAAGAGGACGAAACCGCACAGGTTGCCCACCCAAAAACAAGGCTCATAACACTCAGCAAAAGGGTAGAAGAAAACATCTTCACATCTCTGCCAAGTCCTCCAGATGTTCCCTTTCTACTCCGGAATTCCCTGGAGTGGAAGAAATCATCTTTCAGCCAGAGATTCCTCATTTGTAACAGAGAATAAAGCAGCAAGTACGGTTTAACTTGCCTTCCTCCAGCACTGCACAGGGTCATGCTGGAAACACAGAGGACCCAACAGAGTTTAAGAAAGATGCCAAAGAAAGAGGAAACAATCCTCAAGCAGGACCAGAGCCTTGGGATGTACTTTATGCCAAGAGGAATCTAATCCTAGCAGGAACTATGATTCATGCCCCAAAGCAGGATGAATGCTGACCTTCACCCACAGCGCTGCAAAGAGACAGGAACAGTAATCATGGGTTTAATTCCCTGGCAAATTACCAAGCCAAAGCCTCCGGGCACCCTGTAAACCTGACAAGGAAAGGAGGAAACAGGGGAACAAGAAATACCAGCCATGCAAGCCAACCGGAGGAAGAGTGTGGCCACGCACCCACAGGGTCCAGCCAAGGGAGCAGCTCCTGCAGCACCTCAATGCACAGGGCCAGGCGAGGGCACCCAGGGGAAGGGTGAGCCTTGGGCAGGACAGCGACAAGCTGTCAGCCTGTGTGCAGAGCTTTCCCCCATGCCAGGGCTGTGCTGCTCTCTACGCCAGCGAGGAGCAGAGACCACAAAAGGGGCTTTTGAAGCAAATGCTCCCTGGCTGCAAGGCAGCACAGTGCGTGGGCTACTACGGACAAGAGCTGGCTGTGATCCCCTGCGCTGATCGTAGTGAGCCCAGTTACATTTGCTGCAGAGGAGTTACAGAAGGGAGCAATGTTTAATCAGTGGTGTCTGTACCCCAGCTGCAGTCTGCATGCAGAAGGCATGTTTGTTTCTGGAGGTCCATAGAGGTGTTTGGACAAAGGATGTGGGTAGACAGGGACACAAAGCGTGATTAGAGCTGGGAGAGCCCAATGCAACATGTCCCATCAGACAGCCTGCACAGGGATAAGTCCTCCTGCCTTGATAAAAGCTGCTCCAGCCTGAGAGAGCTGGGCTTGTTCAGCCTGGAGAAGAGAAGGCTCTGGGGAGACCTTGGAGCAGCTTCCAGTGCCTAAAGGGGCTGACAAGAAAGCTGGAGAGGGGCTTTTTGCAAGGGTCTGTAGTGACAGGGCAAGGGGGAATGGCTTTAAACTGAGAGGAGATTTAGATTAGATATTAGGAAAAAGCTCTTCCCTGTGAGGATGCTGAGGCGCTGGTACAGGTTGCCCAGAGAAGCTGTGGCTGCCCCATCCCTGGCAGTGTTCAAGGCCAGGTTGGATGGGGCTTGGAGCAACCTGCTCTAGTGCAAGGTGTCCCTACCTGTGGCAGTGGGTTGGAACTGGATGATATGTAAGGTCCCTTCCAACACAAACCATACTAGGATTCTATCATTCTAACCCCACCAGCCGTCGAGCTCTGCACAGCCAACAGCCATGGTCACCACCCACCCAGCACGTCCTCTTGAAGCTGAAGCGTGATTTGTGTGGTTCTTGGGGAGGAGAGGGCAGCCAGGCTGCAGAATTAAAACCCCATGCAATGAGCAGCGCTATTTATTAAGGACTGGTCAATTACATGGCACCAGCTCAAGCACAGTGCCAGGCTGAGGGCAGGCGGGCAGACCTGCCCTGCTCACACGCTGCCGGTGACCAGGTCAGCAGCAGCTGAGGCTGTATCAACAACACACCTGCGTGGACAAAGCCTGTCCAGAAGCAGCTTCTCATGGTGAGAACTGGCCCCTGCTCACAGGCTTTGCTGTGCTGGGCACCCCAGAGCTGCACCTGGGCTGACAAGGAAGCACCACAAGCAGATAAACTGAGTATCAGCAGAGGAAAGACAGAAAGACAGGTCACCCGCAAGCAAGGCGTTTACTTTGGCAGCCCATCTGCATCGAGAACACACGCTCTTGTATTTGCTCGCTCTGTATGTGTCTGTCCCCATCTATTCAGTATGCTCTGCACCAGCACAGCAACACCTGGAAAGTCCCACTCGACTGTTCCATGATGTTCACAAGCCTTTAAACTGAGCAAGGGGATTGTCAAATGTCAAATGGATGTTGTTTCCATCCTCTGCCATCCAGATTCCACATAAGCACTTTTCAAACCTATTATGCAAAAAGCATTAAAAAAAGTGTTTTTAAGACAAAAAACAAAGTGCAGCAGAATCACAGATGCAGAGAGATGCGTTATTTGACTCTCAGAGTAAAGAGCCACCTGCAAGAGCATGGGTTTGTTTGTCCAAACTACCATGAGATCATGGTAGTTTTAGGAAGTGATACCTTGGTTTCAGGGCTTCCCATCAAAAGGATGAAACCCTCATCTCAAAGCAGACACTGTCTAGAGCTACAGAGATGATGATCAGTCTGACTCAAGTAAAGACTTGGCTACGTGGCAGGATGTTTGCCCATTTATAATGTAACAGACACCCTGTTCCTATAGCCCAGGTCAAAAATCCATCCATAAATGTTCCAGGAAGAGGACCCCTCGCTCCTCTGGGGCGGAACTGATCTCGACCAGTGCCCAGACCTGACTCTGTGGGGACACTTCCCCAGCCGGTGGGACAGCACCAAGATAAACCAACCACCACACCTCAAGGGCAGGGGCAGTTCCTCAGGGCTGGGAACCCAGTTAGCAGGATGCCAGAGGAGGGTGGGCCTGGGGCAAAAGGCCATCTCGTCCATCAGCTCCCCGGAGCAGCTCCAGGCTTTGCAGACTATGAGGAAGTCATTATGCTCCATCAACAGTGGATAGGCACCGCTGGCACAAGCCTATCTCTATGATGGGGTGAAGCAGGCAAACAACCTCACGTTCCCAAGCCTGTCCACCACTGCAGCCACGGGCTGACCCTCTGCATGGGGAGACTCAGTTCCCGTGCACCCCAGATCCCCATCACCGCCACAGAGAGCAACCCACATTTCTGCAAGCCCTCCGCTCCATCCCAGCCGCCTGGATGTGCTGGAAGTAAAGTAACCTCAGAACCAAGCAAAACCAAGCAGACCCATCGCTGCCACCGCAAGTACAGCAGAAACCCCTCTGGGACCGTGCCTGACCTCTCGCTGCTCTGCAGCGCCGGACACAAGCGCTGCTCCACCAGAGACAGCTCCCAGAGCCCCCACCACCCAAATCACATCGAGAAATCGCGACGCTACCTCAAAGCCGCCCCTGTCAGGAGCAGCGGGGCTCAGACCGGCTCCCGGCGCTGCGCGGCAGGCAGGTCCCCTCTCACTTTAACGTGACCCGGTCGGTTTCCCACCGGCGCCTCTGCCGCCGGGACTCTCCCAGGCGGGCAGCGAGGCCGCCCAGCCCGGCTCCTCCGCCGGACGTGCCCCTGTGTCCCTGTGCCCGCGGAGCATCCCCGAGCCCCCTCCCGCTCCCCGGCCGGGACTCACCGGGCCCGGCGCGGCTGCCGCTGCCGGCGGGGAGCGCCAGGAGCTGCAGCAGGAGCAGCAGCAGCAGCCGCCGCAGCGGCGGGCCGCCCCCCCGCGCCATGGCCGCCCGGCGTTACCCCGACATCGCCGCCCGCCGCCCGCCCCGCAGCGACATCCCCGCGCTGCCACCGCCCGCTTCCGCCGGCCCGCCCCGCCCCGGCCCGCCCCCGGCGGAACCACCGCCCCCGGGAGCGCTGCGGCCTGGGGACACCCGCGGCCGGGGCAGCGTCGAGCTCCTGCGGCACCGGGACGTGCACGGAGCGGGGCGGGGGGTGGGCGGCCCGGAGCAGCCTGCGGTGCTCGGGGCTGAGGGGATCTGGTCTCCGGTCTCCCTGTCCTGCGGACCCCCGTGGTCCTGGAGAAGCGCTGTAGTCCTGTCGGGGCCCCAGGTAACCCCAGGGAGGGCAGGGACCCAGAGACTGAAATGGTCCCGTGGCACCCCGGTACTCCAGGACGTCCCTGAGAGCCCCGGGAGAGGGACTTCGAGAGGGGTCAAACCCCAGGAGCACCCTGGGGCTGTGGGAGAGCACCCTGGGAAGAGGTGCTGGAAGCAGGCTGCTGCTGTGAGAGGGGGCGGCCTCGCTGCTCAGTGCCATGAGGGGGAAATAAAACGGTAATCTGAGATCTGTTTAACCCGAAATCACAGACATTAACTGGCTCAGGGGTAACCAAACAGCCCACCGCACCCCAGCTCAGAGCGGAAATTGCTGGGGAAGCTCAGCTCTTCAATCTGAAGTGTGGTGATTTTACACTTGTTCCTAGAAAATCCAGCTGCCTTCTCAGCTCTCGCATATCTGCCGTGTTCGTAGGGCTCACGGGATCTGTGGCTTTCACAGGAATTTCAGCTCCTTCACTGATTTTCTGGTGGACTTTGGAAGAGTGAAGGGTCTTCCTTCTTACACACCTTTTCCTTGGGATACCTTCTGATGTGTTTGTGTTCTCCAGGGCAATAATGCAGTCTAGACACAGTCTTGGAGTCCTTGCTCAGGCAAAAATCACACCATTTGCTTACAGTTCAGCTTGGCTGGGGACTTCAGCCCTTTTTCCAGTCAAACACAAACTCATGGGCTTTCTATTTCAGGAGCTCCAAATCTTTGTTTCTTGTTTTCAGAAAGCTGATATATTTGTGATAAGCTTATTATGTATGGGAATGAAATCCCCCATGAAAGAGTCAGTCATTCTCTAGGGGCTCTGACATCACCGAAAGCCCTGTCAGAGCAGCTTATGCAGTCAGTAGCTAGAAATGTCCTCATGTAATTTATTGGAAGACTTCCTTGAAGTCAGCCCAAAAGCTTGAGCACAGGAAGCATGGGATTGGAAGGGACTCATTTTCTAATTCCCAGCTTAGATTTACTCACTGCCTATTTGTTCCCATTTGTCCCTGTGTAATACTGTCCTTGGACGTTCAGAGCTCTTCTTCTGGAATGTGTCCTGCCTAACAACAGCACCAGCTTCCTCCCCACTTTTTCCTGCTGGGCATGAGGGTATCATCGGCTTTCTGCTGTGTGGATCCTTGAGGCCTGCAGTCCTTGAGATACTGTAATATCGTGATTGTTATCTTCCTCTGTTGCTCATGACTTATAGCAGGGCTCATGACTGAGCTCTGAAGTCTTGACCCAGCACATGATGGACTTACCTGTTCTTACTTTACTCACACATATTGCTAACATCAGTCAGAGCCTTCTTCAGAGGCTAGTCCTCCTCTCCATTTTTCATAATCTGCTTATTATTCCTCATATCCTTTTGATATCAGAAAATCACACTCCAGTTAGGTATTACACTCTTTCACTTTGTTTTTTGAGCTTCTTCAGGATATGAAGTAATTTTACAGTTTTCCCTAAGGAATGGCAAGCCTCTTCCATGTTAGCTTTGAGTTCTCCCAGTTGATTTTGCTGCTGCTCAGAAATTGTTCTTCCTGAAACAATTCTTGAAAGAAGAACAAACCCTTCTGTTCTTATTCTATGGTAATTTACCCTTCAACTCCACTTAAAAGGTATCAACTTGTCATCAGTCAATCCTCATGAATTACTTTCCTGCAATGCTGTCTACTTACAGTCCTTTTCCTCTTAAAGGACAAAAACTGAGATTCAAAGATCTGACAAATCTGAGCACAAATCAAACTCACCTAGCTCAATGCAGAATCAGATCCACAATGTGTTACAATACCTGTTTTCTCACACCTCAAGTCCCTTAGACTTGCTCCTGTTCCCCAAGAAAAGCATTCCAATGTTGACTGCGACTGTTTGGGGTGGTGAGTGATGTAGGACATGTCACCTCCAGACTGACAGCTGCTCCACACATGAGCACACTAAAATGTTGTCACTGGAAAGGATTGGGTTGCTTTCACTCTTTCTCCTTTGGCCAAGCATCCTTACTTGGGTGAGTTTCAGTCAGGGAGGGTCTCCCTTTTGCTGCAGAGCTGGATTTGGAGCTGAAGATGCAGTTGGAGCCGAAGCTGTAGCTTCCTCCACTTCCATAGGTGGACACGTGCAGCCACCCATGGATCACTGTTGTGTGCAGCCAGGCAGAAGATCCAGCTGCAGTGACACCTGTCTCCTCTTGTGGTGGCAATCAAAATCACAAGGTTTAGAACCCCCCTGGTGAGCTTCTGCTGAAATCTGAGGGAGCATGGCTATGCTGGGGCCAGGGCTTCTGCCTGGCTTTGCAACACATGTGACTCTGAACACAGTGCATGTGTCTGTGTAATGATCAGGGATCACCACATCTGCTTTTGCTCTTTGGTCCATGAATCCCGAAGCATGGAAGTGGAAGACTCTTCTAGAGAGTGTATTTCCTACAGTGATTCAGACAGGGCTGGGAAGAGATCTGGACTATATACTTGTTGCTGTTTAACCCCACCTGATAACTAAGTACCATGCATCCAGGAGGATGGGGAGGAGAATTGGAAAAAAAAAGTAAAACATGTGGGTTAAGATAAGACCAGTTTAATAATGGAAATAAAATTAAATATACTACTACTAATAGTAATAATAGTAATGAAAATATAAAACAAGAAGAGAGGGAAGAATAAAACCCTGAAAATGCACAGTGTAATTGCTCAGCACCTGCGGACCAATACCCAGCCTGTCACTGAGCAGTGATCAGCACCTTCCAGCCAGCTCCCCCCGGTTTTATCCCAGGCATGATGTGCCGTGGTATGGATTTGGCTAGTCTGTGTCAGCTGTCCTATCTCTGCTTCCTCCTGGCTTCTTGTGCCCCTCTTCACTGGCAGAGCATGAGAGATCAGAAAGTCCTTGATCGGAGTAAGCATTACTTAGCAACAACTAAAACACTGGTGTGCTATCAGACTGAGCTGAAACACAGCACTGCACCACCTACTAGGAAGAAAACTAACTCTATCCCAGCTGAAAATATCCCTGTTTGAAGCTATGATCTGGAAAAATAAATAATGGTGACCTGTCCAAATTGAATCTATGGGGCTTTAACAGGGCTGACCCATAAATTTTGATAAATATACTTCTACTATGAATAAAGGCACTCAGCTGCTCAACCATTGAAGGGAGTATAAAAGCTTTCTGGCTGAGCAGCTGCAGTGCACATTTTGCTGTATTGCTTTCCATAAATCCATAGTTGGGATCCTCCCCTCCATGTGCAAGGGTCTCTGAAGAGCATGGAGCTGGCATAGTCTGCTCCCGTATCTCTCTCTGGTCCTGATACAGGGAGTAAAAAAGTGGCACAAACTGGAAAACCTTATCTTTTAACCATCTCCAGCTACATCCTCGTTGATTTGTGTCTACTCAGCAACTCATTACCTACTTGAAGTGAATATGACAGGGGATCTGGGCAGGGAGAGGATAGTGAAGAACTGTGTCCCAGGAATACAGACCAAAAATCTGCTGTTAAGAGTTGCACACTTCAGCTTTTAGGCTTTTGTCAGAAATGTCAGATGATGCTCCATCACTGCAGGAGACTGGGGAAAGGCTGACATGGTCAGGGGAGCTTTGTTACATGCAGCTTTCGGTGTTATTCACAAATGGAAAAATAGGAGGTCAGTAGTTTCAGTGTAGATAACTAAGGTGACACAGATAGGGAAAAACCTAAAACAGAGGAGGCTGGACTTAAACTGGCTATTAAAGCTCAGGAAAAGCATAATGGAGTTTTCACTGATAGTTCACCAAAATTGTAGCCTTGATGTGCAGCAAAAAGTGGCCATGTCATCAAGAAGGGCTTGGGGTCTCAAAATAAGAAAGAAGACAGCTTTTACCTGCTCTGTAACACACATTTGCATAGTGCCGGCCTCTGATCTGAGAACACGGTGAACTTACAGAGTTGTGAGCAGAGCAACTTTGATGATCAAGGGGATGGGGCAGCTGCTGTATGAGGAGGTCTTGGGAAGGCTGGGATTTGACCCTGGAGAAGGAGGAGCAGAAAAGGCCAACTCTACAAAATCAGAAGGTGATTGTGGCCCTTGTGCTCATCAGATGCTCTGTGACTGGAATTAGAGGGCATCGATGAGTCTGGTAGATTGCTTTAAAAGGAATATAAAGGACTTTATACAGGGCAGGGGAGGGGAATGATCTTCTGGAACTTGCTGACATGGGAGGTTGTGGATACAAATAGGATCAGCAGGTTTGTAAAAGGTGTAGCAAATTTGTGAGCAGCAGGTCAACAGACATGCTAAAGGCAACAGGCAGGAATGTACTCTCTGAAATTGCTGTTACTGCTGGTGTGGATGCTGGAAGAGCACAATGAAAAGTGGCCAGGCTCGTGTGCTCTTCCAGGTGGTATCTCCTGTTGCTGAAAACATCCCTGGGAGGGATGAACCAAGGATGTCACCAGCAGAGCATTTCCTGTGTCCTCACTTTCACCATCCCTCAGCAAATGCAGATCTTCTCAGGTGGTTGGTGTGTGGCAAAAGACAGGGCAACCACCAGGAAGACAGATTTTGCATTTCTAGTCAATTCCCATCTCTGAGGTGAAAATCTGGTCAATTCCCAGTGCACAACATCAAGCAGGCGTGACTGACAAATACTGTAACCTCATTGCAAAGAGTTGCTGGTGGCACTATTGCAGTGGAAAGCTGGCTAGATCTAGTTATCAAAACAGACATGGTCAGTCACAAAAAGAAG